CAGGTGCGCAGAGCCGGGGTGCAGGTCGAAGTGCGGGAAGTAGGTCTTGGTCTGGGGGTAGCTGGCGAAAAGCCTGCGGGGTGGGAGTGGAGCAGGACTCTGGTGAGGCCAGTAGGACCCTTGCCTTGAGAGTAAAACTTAAGCGGCGCCAGAAAATCCAGCCGTCAGGATAAGTCGTACTTCAAAGCAATATTTAAAACATAAATATTAATGCAAAAATTCACGTTGAACAAAAAAACTATAATTTTAAATAAAGACAGAACCAGTATTGGATCCTGTTGCCTCAGCTCCAGTATAGCAGGGCACTATCTCACCCTCACTGCCCCATCTCTCAGTCATTCTTTCATTCATTCATTCAACAGATGTTTGTGGAGACCTGTGTGCTGGGCCCCAATGAGAAACACAGTCCTCAGCTCTCTTCTCATCCACTTGCCTCTAATCAAACGCACTGATCCTTCCTCTCTTTCTCCTCCCCACTGTTCCCTCCTCACTGTCCCCCGTACTCACTCACCCCACATTGTCCCCTACCTGGCCCCGTCCGGCCTGTCTGGCACTCACCTCTCCAGGGTCTCGGTACCGATGGCATCTGCCTGTGCGGCAATCTTGCCCCACATGGACACGATGATGTTCCTCTCGGCCCTGGTCAGAGACATGGTGATGTTGGAGCTGGAGCTGGGTCTGATCGGGACTGGCCTTTGTGGTGCTCAGCCCCCAGGGTCCGCTTATATACACGGAGTCCATGTGGGGGCCAGGCTGTGGGGGCTTGGGGTGGGGTCTCTTATCAGATCCAGTGACAATGGGCAGTAGGAGCCTGGTGGGACAGGCGGGGTGAGGGGTTATCACCCCTGCCACCCTTCCTGGGTTTTAGCGGGGGCGTTGGCCACAGCCTGACCAGGGTCCAGCAGAGATAGGGGCCCAGCCAGCCCAGGAGGTCATGCCTGCATTTGCAGCCCAGCCCTGCATTGTCCTTGTCTATTTCAGACTTAACAAATGAGGGAAACCAGGGAAGCAGGGCCCAGAACACACCTTCCTGGGGCTGGCACATTGCCCCGTGCTGCCTGCATGGCTCCTGGGTAGGATCCTGTGGCTAGATCACCCGGCCACATGCCAGCTCCCTCCGCTTGGGTCTGTGATACTTGGGTTTCCTCTGAGAAAGCGATGGTTTTACCCTCCTGGCTGAGGAAAGAGGTACTGACTGGGTCTGTCTCCCGAAAAGCTAGGTCAATAAGAGAGAATTATCCTAATATCACCTGCTATTAGGGATTGCACTACTTTTATTGACTTCAGAGAGGAAGGGAGACGGATAAAGAGACAGAAACATCAATGATGAGAGAGAATCATTGATTGGCTGCTTCCTACATGCCCCACACTGGGGATCGAGCCCGCAACCTGGGCATGTGCCCTGACCGGGAATCAAATCATGACCTCCTTGTTCATAGGTCAATGCTCAACCATTGAGCCACGCTGGCTGGGCGGGATTGCAATATTGCTCACCATATCATCATTTTAACAATGAGGCAACTATTCCTTTTAGTGTTAACATACAATGAAATTGACTTTTTTAGTGTACTGCTCTGTGAATTTTGACATGTGTGTAGAGTTGTGAAATTATATGTGAACGTTTTTACTTTAAACTAAAAATTGCTTATCATATGTAATAAAAATAATATATAAATCTTTACAATTAAACAAAAAAGGCACCTCCTCGCTGCCGCTCTGCCAGCCCGGCTCTCAGGCCACCCACCTGCGGCTGCGGCGGCCCCCGCCCCCGGCAGCACCGTGGCAGATCAGGCCTTTGTCACACTGACCACAAATGATTCCTACGCCAACGGAGCCCTGGTGCTGGCCTTGTCTCTGAAACAGCACAGGACCACCAGGAGGCTGGCGGTGCTCGCCGCTCCGCAGATCTCGGACTCCTTGAGGAAGGTTTTAGAGACAGTCTTTGATGACGTCATCATGGTAGATGTTTTGGACAGTGGCCATTCTGCGCACCTGACCTTAAAGAAAGAGGCCTGAATTGGGTGTTACCTTAACTAAGCTCCACTGCTGGTCACTTACACAGTATGCAAAATGTGTGTTCATGGATGCAGATACTCTGTCTGGTCCTAGCAAATACTGATGTTTTTGAGAGAGAATTGTCGGCGGCTCCAGACCCCAGGTGGCCTGACTGCTTCAATTCCGGAGTTTTTGTGTATCAGCCTTCAGTGGAAACATACAGCCAGCTGCTGCGTGTTGCTTCCGAGCAAGGTAGTTTTGATGGTGGGGACCAGGGTTTACTGAACATGTTTTTTTAGCAGCGGGCAACAACAGATATCAGAAATCACCTGCCATTTATTTAAAACCTAAGCAGAATTTGTATATACTCCTACCTCCCAGCATTTAAAGCGTTTGGTACAAATGCCAAAGTTGTACATTTCCTGGGACGAATCAAACCGTGGAATTACACCTATGATCCTAAAACAAAAAGTGTCAAAAGTGAGTCCCACGATCCCACCACCATGACTCACCCCGAGTTCCTCAGCCTGTGGTGGGACATCTTCACCACCAGCGTTTCACCTCTGCTGCAGCAGTTTGGCCTCATCTCAGACACCCACCCACACCTCAGTGTGGAAGATGTCTCCGGAGCTGTGTCACATTTGTCCCTTGGGGAGACCCCGGCTACAGCACAGCCTTTTGTATCCTCAGAAGAACGGAAGGAGAGGTGGGAACAGGGCCAGGCTGATTACATGGGAGCGGATTCCTTTGACAACATCAAGAGGAAACGTGACACTTACCTCCCATAGAAACAGTGCCCCTCTTCCATGGACACATCCACTTCACAGGCACTTTTTTTCTCATACTTATTATCTAGAGCTGAGTCTGTTACAGTTGCTAGAGGCTTTCACTAAAATTCATCAGATAAGGGGTTTTTGTAGGACAACAAGTGATAACTGAGCAGAAGTTATGGAGTAGCAATCGGTATATGGACAGTGGCCTGTTTTTTAAACCTGGGCTTATTCCGCTGATGTTTCAGAATTGTTCAGAGCTGCCCGAGTGATTACAGCTCTGCTTTCTGGTGAAGACAGCCTGTAACACTGTGATGCATAAGCCCGTCAACAAATGGCATCAACGCATTTTCTCCCCTCGCTTTAGTGTCTGAAGATGCCCCAGTTTTCCATGTACAGTGAGGCAGCATGCTAAATGCTTCTATTCAATTCTGTATATCTGAAAACAGCCGTGGCACCTTATATGAAAAATAAAGACTTATTGCCATAAAAAAAAATTCCCTTGTGCCCTGACAGGGAATTGAACCGTGACCTCCTGGTTCATAGGTCGCTGTTCAACCACTAAGACACGCCGAGCAGGCAGGTTTTACCTCACTTAAAAAAAACCCTGCCGAATGCTGAGGTGTACAGAACTGTCTATATTACCGTTCTAAGAATTTTACTGTTTGGCATTTGATTGGGTGACGGTCCACCTTGGACGGATTTTGTGTGGTTGTGAACCAAGGTCTGCTGCCTGGTTTTAGCTGACACTTATTCAAATGCCTTCTAAGTCCTGGGCAGGGTACCAAACACTCTTCATGTTGGGTATTTGACCTTTAACACTGTCTGTGAGAGAAGTTTTATGTTATTACCGTGACATGTTTTCAGATAAGGAAATGGAGGCTTGGGAAAGTTATGAAATCCTAGTGAGCCCTAACCGGTTTGGTCGGCCTGTGGACTGAAAGGTCCCAGGTTCAATTCCTGTCAAGGGCATGTACCTTGGTTGCGGGCACATCCCCAGTAGGAGGTGTGCAGGAGGCAGCTGATCGATGTTTCTCTCTCATCGATGTTTCTAACTCTATCTCTCTCCCTTCCTCTCTGTAAAAACATCAATAAAATATATTTAAAAAAATCTTTATTAAAAAAAAAAGAAATCCTAGTGACCCAGCGTGTGAAATCGCACGAAACCCAGACCCGTGGGAAATTGCGTGAGACCCAGGACCCCTGCCACGTGAGACCCAGAGTCAAGTCCCCTCCCACCCGTGCACGCCTTGTTGTACACACAGCCTCCTGGTGACCCGTCTTTGGTCGTTATGGTGTTGCGACCACTGGGTTTTTATTATATAGATGTTCAAGTTTCAGTGGAGGAGGGGACCACTCCTGATGGGAGAGGAGACCTAGGTTTGCTGTGGGCAGGCTGCTGGCCCTTCGGGGGTTGGGCAAGTCTATTCTGTCTCTGGGCCTCGGTTTCCTGAGACACAAGGAGCCCAAGTCTGTGCTCCAGGACACTGAGACCTACTGGTCTCTGGACAGAACTCAAAGCCCCAGGCTTGTTCTGAACGTTTGTGGCTGGAGCTGAGTGCAGAGGGGCCCTCAGTGGAGACCTTCCCCTGAAAGCGACCCCTGGGTGGCTCTGGGCAGGCTAGTTACCATTGTGAGTCCTGGTTTCACTGTGTTAACCTCTCAGGTGGGGGTTTAGAACAGCCTCCACCTCACTGTTAGGAGGATAATGGCACCGTGAATTCAAGATTATTGTAGCTGTATTGTTGGTGAGCGATTCCTCCTGGGCAGGAACACTGCACCAGAGAGGGTGGGGGTGTGGAAGTGGGTCCAAGATAGGGTCTTTGAGCCCCGCCCGGCCCTCTGACGGACGGCGGTAGCTCTATCAGGCCCGGACTGAGTGGCAGGACTGATAAGGCCCCGCCCTGCCTAGGAGACCTAAGCTGGGAGGGAAGGTCAGGAGTTTGGGATTCCAAGAATCAATTTACCTTCAAAAAAGTAGGTTACAGAAGAGTTACTTACATTTAAAATGAGAATTTAGAGTTGCAGGGTGTTTGCAGAGAAGAGTTTGAGGACATACCTTGTAGTGAGAGGAGGTTGGCCCTGGGTACATGGTTGTCCAGGGGACAGTGTGAGGACCTCAAGCTAAAACGGCACCAACAGGGGGTGGGGGGAGAAAGAGATCGTAATATAAGGCGACAGGAAAAGATTCGACTTTGGGCAGTGGGCACACAGTGCAATATTTAGATCTTGTAACATAGAAACCTACACCTGAAGTCTATATGATCATGTCGACCAATGTCACCCAAATAAATTTAATAAAAGTTAAAAAAAAGACCACATGTACAGACCATTTGCTCCCAACCCCGTTACTGGTGGGGAACCTGAGGCCCAAAGCATGGCCAAGCCACCTTGGAGTCCCTCTGGCTGCCAGCACCCGCCTGGACTGAACAGGGAGTGACAGGAGCTCTGATTTCTGTAACAGCCCAAGGAAGTCAGCACATGTAGACACTGAGAAGCTGCTGGTGAGGGCGGCGTGGGAGTCAGCTCTCTGC